TACCTATACAAAGATATGTAGATCATGCAAAGAGGTAACTTTCAGACACAAACTGGAAAAAAATCTTCTTGAAGCAGTAACTTTTATATAAATATTGAATTACATGAAAATAACACTTTCCTACACTCAGTATGTATTATGGAATTGAATCAGATATCATTCACAGTATTTCTACAAAATATAATAAATGAAAGAGGTGAAATTCCACCTATTCGGAACACTGTCATCCTCAATGGAATAAGTTGAATCTATTTATGTCATCGATGACAGTGCGCAATGACATTCATTCGCTCATTTGATTAAATCCCAGCCAAAAAAATCTTGTTTGAATTTAAAGGGTTATATTTCTAGAAAAGGCCAATTTTTGAGAAACGAAGATTTTGGCTTTCTACTTCTCCATCTTAAAACGAAAAACTGAGGGAATGATTTTGTTGATGGAACTGAGAATATTTGAAACAAATACCACCACACAAAGCCCAACAATTCATAAATTCACAAGTAGAACGTAATCCAGATATGCTGACCTCCTAATGGCATCATATCATATAACTTTGCGAAAACGTAACTGAAGTAGTGCCTGAAACTTTAATCCTTATATCTGGTCTCGAGAAGCTTGGCCAAAGAAAACGCCAAGATAAAATGATATAGTTCTCATAGAGATAACTTGTGACCTAAATTTTATCTGAGCATGTTATCCGGCTGCAATTGTTTTAGAACATGTTTTATAACATGGAAACATTTTTATCTTCAGGGAAATGTGAACTGCTTTCTGCTTTTGTTTCATGTATCCTTTAAGTGCTGCTTCAATTTATTTAGTTGGATAACAGGAGGCTCTTTCGAGACTCTCTCAGATGGCGTGACAGTTGGAGAATTGCTTTCGTACCCATACAGGTTAGTGTTTGAGAGAGTTTTGAGCATCAGAGGAATTCTTTTGAGTTGGTTCAGACAAATGAACAGGGTGTTGATGATAAACGATTGAACACAACAAAATATGAGACATTTCACCTGATTGAAGTTGATATTTGAATGATTCACCATTCTAAGCGAAGCTTCTGAGCCGTATTTCAGTTTTTGTCACGGCAAAATGACGTCAGAGTTTACATGTAGAATTTTCTGAATTCCCAGTGGGTTCTTCTCTAGATGAGTCTAAGTTACTATACCTGTTATGTTACTGTCAGCTATTTGATAGATGAAATTAGTTTTTTTTTTTGAGTAACTTCATTCTATGGATATTGTGAAGTGAAAGTTTCAATAAAATCGAGGAGTATGATCAAGTGAAGTGATTTCAGATATGTAGAGACTAAAAACCCAGATAATTCAGTTCTGAAAATGGCTCATTTACAGACAGGCAAAAACTGCTACCAATTTGATCTCAAAACCGAAATAATTCACCGTTTGTTTGCAGGTGGCTGACAATGTTTCGAGGTGCATTTCATTTATTCGGACTTCCATTGTTCAATATGATATAAATTGATTTGAAATCCCTAAAAGAATCTGTAAAAGAGTGAAAAAGATCAGTTGAAGAATAACAATTATATTAGGCAAAAAGAAACTGCTTATATTTTATTTTATTGTAATTTCAAATTCGTTCGCTTATTATAATTGTTATTTTTCAGCTAATCCCTTTCAGTTCTCTACAGATCCTTTCAGATTTTGAATCAATTTATATCACATCAGACAAAGGGAGTCCGAATTAATGAATTGCACCAAATAATTCAGTTCTGAACTGCTGATATAGGAGAAATACGTTTTGGTTTTGACCAAGACAATTTCTATTCGATTGGTGAGGAATGTTATTCTACGAAATTATAATTGGTGATACGACACAGAAGAGAGAACTCTAGCTAGAAAAATTATCTACTTGATAGGAAACAGTGTGTAGAGTATGTGCTTCATAAACTCCCATTTCCGGAGAACCCCAAGGCTCAAATTTTGGACTTCCTTTCTCCTCAATTTTCATTATTGATTCAATTGAAACAATAGACAATTCAAAACTGCTTTACGATGATGACCTTGAAATATAATGTGACAGAAAATGATTTAGACTGCGTAGACTAACAGTATGGATTAGATTTGACACTTGATTGGTGTTCCAATAATCGTTTGAATTTCAATATTGCTGAATGTCATGCATTGTATTTTTGTAGAGAATAAAATCTTATACAATTTATCATGGAACTGATAACAATCCATCACTCGAGTTGATGAAATCAAGACCAAACAAACAAAATAATTTTGAATTGTGTCATTTCAAAATTGTAAAGATTAATCTACTCACAAAATGTTAATTGAATTTAATATTGTTAATTTCCTCTAATAGAGTGTACACCTGTTGGAAATGAAGTGATATGTATCTATAGGCACGTCAATGTTGAAACTTTTCTGACCTATATTGATGATGGTGAAATTTTGAATAAACACAACGTTAAACTAATTTTCAGGACAGCAGAAACGATCAGAGAAGGATCGGTCAAAGACCCCAGATAGCCTTCATCAACACCAAGGGTATACTAGCATCCTTGTAGCTGTCGGTCGGTCCACACTGAAACAACGAAAAGAAAGATAAGTACCCGGCTTTCTGAACATAAGAAAAATCAGCTATACCCGAAAATGCAGTCAAAAAAGACACAAACTTTATCCCGTTCAATGGTTCACAGGTACTGGATGGAATTTGACAATTATCATCCGAAATCCTATAGGGAGGCATCCATAAACATGACATTAATTTCAATTGAAAAAAACATTGAAATCAATGAAATCTGGCTACCTGAAATAAACCTATAACAAATTAAATCAGTCAACTCTCTCATAGCCAATAATGATCTGTCAGGCTCAAAAACCTGCAGAACATGGTCAAAAAACCTGAAAAATAGCTGTGAAACTTTTTCAGTTATTTTTGTTTTCAGTTGAGACGGAAAAAAAAGTGATATCAAGGTTATATTAGGCTTGTTATAGTTTCATATGAAAAAATCTAAAGGTGCACTATCGCTGACCTCTAAAAACAGCTTTCTGGTGAAGAAAAATATTTCTATCTATAATTCTCAACTGGATTCATCAATGAAAGCAGGAATCAAGAGTCTGTATTGTTCCTGAAAGGATCTCTTTCGTCTCAACGAACTGAGCCACTCGCCTGAATAAATATTATGCAAGTCAAAGCAAACAATGCAGAAATTATCTTGTAGATTTCTTCCCTAGTACCGGATAGCCGAAAGGAAATCTATTCAACCGTATCCGAACAGCCGGTCCCGCATACCTTTTTATTCTGTTTGTATTAAAATAATGATTTCCAGGAACGCCGAAGTTTGTCACATCCTCCGGAGGCTTTTTCCCGATAAAGCAAAACCGCGACAGTGTGCATTGTGGAAAATATACGACGGCCTTACTTCTGAAACAATGCCTTTCTGATTTACGTCACCCGACCGGGTCGCTTTGTCCGGAAAGTGTACTTTTTAAAATTATACCATTTGTAAAACCAGAAGTGCTAACTGAACAAAAAGAAGTAAGTAAGAGGTGTTTTGTCTTTTATTTTGGTGAAGATAGAATTAATGGATAGAGAGGTTTTACAGGATGTAGCTCCGCTTACAATTCTTTAAAAAGTAGTTACAACATTTTTCCAATAACCCAAAATTTCAGGTTCCCAACTTTAAAACTAACGAAATTCAATACCACCTATTTTTCCCCTGAGTATGGAAATTCCTGATTCTGGTTTCTGGTGCTCATTCACGCTATAAAAAGAACCTACCTGCATATTTCAAGATTCTTGGATCAGTAGCTTCAGCTGTACGTTGATGTAAGGGTGTCAGTCAATCAATAGGTACTCACTTATACAATGCTAGCTGTTTTACATTGTTTCATCCGCGTTATTTTGAGAACCTAACCTATGTGTTATTCCAGGTCATGATCTACATATATACCAACTCAAATTCGAATTCGTTGAGTAGGAGTAGGATTAGTAGAATTAACAATGCCTTTCATTCTGATCTTCTCAGTTATTTTCTGATGTCATTCAATATTATATAACGTACAGCCGAAGCTACTGAACCTATAATCTTGAAATATACAGATAGGTCTTTTGTGTAGCGTTAGTAAGCATCAGGGTAGAGAATCAGTTTTAAAGTCGTAACTATTTATTCAAAATGGTTTATCACGAAACTTAATGTGACAACACAAAGTCTACGCCGGCGACGCCGCAGGCAACAGCTAGTAATGTATAAATATCAATATCATATGAAGCATAAAGCACTGATTATGATATTTAACAGAAATATGAGAATTGAAATGAGAAACTGATGAGTATATAAAGTATGATGTACAGAGAGATGATATAACGAAATACGATTTACAATCGATATCAATTGAAAATACAGAACTGGTCCAGAACAATAGGAAAACATCATAGAAATAGTGTATTTTTCTCTGGTGTCTATATGAATATCCAAAGCTTCTGCGTTAAGAACATCACGAGAACTCCGACTCATCGCCTTTGATAATGACTACCGCAGCAGTAGACTTTTTGATCAGTGTAGGTTGATTTGCAGAACGTTAGAAAAGGTTTTGATATAGGTCAGAATAAAAATCACGAAACTCTTCAATCCTCCATGTTATTTTTCAAGTTTCTCAGGATTCTTCAATTTCTGCTCCATCTGAATAATTGATAAAGGAATCCAGAACATTAAGAAAATACCCCCTTCATGAATTAATTAAACCTTTTTGTTTCAGGACCACTTCAGTGTCGAAAAAGACCAGAGCTTAACGCATGAGCAGCCACGATGCCGGTTCTCCCCATCTCCCGAACACCACAAAGCCAAATCACAAACTCAATTTTCAAGAAACAATAATTAATTCCAACCTCGAAAACTTCGACATCTCCTTAGTGTTTTCCCGTGTTGGGTATTTTTAACGTCTTTCAAGTTCGAGAGTGTGGGTTTTCATTAAAACTTCCCGAAGGATTAATATCCTCTAATATTTCTTTACTCGGGATAATGTTTCCTCCTTAAAAAATGGAAAGTAAGAGTTGGTCGATCCTGCTGGTTTTTATTGTAACGACCGTGCTTCTGGGGGTAGAAGGTGATAACAGTTTCATGAAAAACGCGAAAATCAGCACGAGAATCATCCAAACACGTTACGGAAGACTACAGGGGCTCATCCTGCCCATGGACTCTCACCGATTTCTGAAACCGATAGAAGTGTTCTTGGGAGTGCCCTACGCGACTCCCCCTGTACAATCGAACCGGTTTAGCCCTACGCGCACGCCCAGTCCTTGGGACGGGATTCGTGTTTCGGATAAGTTGGGTCCGGTGTGCCCACAAAAACTTCCGGACATCTCTAACGAAACCGCAGCTCTCGAAAGGATGCCTAAGGGGAGGTTGGAGTATTTGAGGAGGCTGCTTCCTTTCCTGAAGAACCAAAGCGAAGACTGTCTCTACTTGAATATATACGCTCCGGCACAAGGTCAGTCAATCAGAAATATCAAAAATAATTTTGATATATTTTACAATGTGACACTTATATATGAATGGTTTTTCATTATTGGTGGATGTGTAGTAGATGTATGTATGTGTAGTTTTACGTTTCACAAGACTAGTCAGTTGATTATTGGGTGGAATGTCCACCGTGGACACTTCAATCTATGGAGATTGATTAAATAGTCGAACATAATAGCATTTACGGTGAAATTGTTCAGATGAAAATGAACTCCTCTTGAAAATATGGTAACTCATTTCGATTTGGGTCGTTTGTATATGAACTGAAGGGAATCACTAATATAAATATTTACTGATGAGATAGTTAGGTAGGTATACCTATAGGTCGATCCAAAGTGGATAGGTCTATTTGATCCTTCCCCAAGTGTTCATTGTATTTTTTCAAGTATTCGAAATCCGACCAAATGCATCCAACTTCCAAATAATCTATGCTGCGCCAATCTGGCATAAGATGATGAGAAATCAAAAACTGATAGTTATGGTCACTAGTTTCCAAAGGAAAATAGTTATAGAGATTTGTGGTACATATAGAACAATTTCTGAGACAGCAGCAAAAGTGATAGCAGGAGCAACTCTCCCAGATCTCTCAATCCGTAGTAAAAATGAACGCAAAAGCAAACCTCATGTGGAATTGACAAGGGAAGTGGACTAATGGAAAGTACGGACGATGGACCGATAAGCTGGTACCTAATATTGAGCAGTAAGAGAAAAGAACGTATGGTAAGATGGATTACTTTTTGATGCAAGTACTGCCTGGACATATCTCCTTCAGAAAATATCTATAAAATAGACAAGAGCTGAATCTAATCATTCCCATGCTGGATGACATAGAACATAAATTGTTCATATATAACAGATGGAAGATTTCAGACTAGCATATCAGAGAGAAGCAAGGATGTCATTCAACGGAAGGAATATGATGATATCACTGATGACAGTAGAGGGGAAATGAAAAGAAACAGATATGTTCATCAGGATCCTTTTCGAAACGAAAGGGAATAGAGAGAGTCACATNGCAAGGATGTCATTCAACGGAAGGAATATGATGATATCACTGATGACAGTAGAGGGGAAATGAAAAGAAACAGATATGTTCATCAGGATCCTTTTCGAAACGAAAGGGAATAGAGAGAGTCACATGGCGCTATATACAGCTTCCACACTTGATGAACAACAGAAAAAATGGTGAATTTATGAGTCAATAGTACAAAATAATGAGTTGAATTGAAACATCTACACTACATAGAAAAATATGACACACAAGTACATAACTGAGACACTTTACACATTCATAATTTGACAGTCGCACAAAGCAAATCATATATTAGTGTATGATATAAAAGACATTCGCAACGAGAAATGACTCACGACCAGATTTTAATTTATGGATTGGATTGATAAGTCGAAAATAGAACAATGTAAGAATAATATCATAATAAAACACTGTGAAAAGCATTTTCAAACCGAACAACACTGAAAGTAGGTAGTACACAGTACACTGTTCATTGACAAAAAAAAAGTCTGTTTCAAATCTGTTTTTCCGTTAACCAGCTGTCGCACCCCTACGAACGACAACCCTCAGAAGTCGAAACTTGTCCGAGCTGAGGATTGATGAGGTCTTACCTTTCAACGTGTGATTCCTAACACAGCCCGAAATGAATACTATAAAATGCTCGAGATGAAAGATAACATTTCAATTTTGTTTTGAATCTGAACATGTTTGGCTGATTCTTCAAGTCATCATGTAGCATGTTATAAAAGTTTGCCGCAGCATATTAAGTCGAGTAGTTGACAATTTTCAATTTAAATTGGTTTTTTTGACAGGTCGGGTAGTGGCGGACATCCGCATTTTGAATAAAATGGTTTTTATGGATGTAGGCAAATGTTAATAATTTATACAAATAGATACTCGTGAATGTCAATATTCTCGTCTCTCTGAAAACATCTCTGCAATATTTTTGAAATATCAATCGTATGATTCCTTTCTGTGCTTTCAAGACTCTGCTGCTGCCAGTAGCGGGACCATAAACTATAATATTATGACTCATAGAGGAATATACCAATGCATAGTAAACGCTCATGAGACCTTCTTCAATTAAACAGCTCTTTAAATTTCTCAACGCAGAGAAGTGCTAATTCAAGGTGGAACATAGTGACCTAATGCAATTGTCCCATTTGAGGTTTTCGTCGACGATTGTACCCAAAAACTTGGAGCTACTTTGAAATGTGACTGATGAACTGTTTATATACAGGTTTTCAGCGATGGCTTTTCCTCAGTCGATACGTGGAATCGAATAGCAATCTTCGAAATTGCGATAATTAAATTGTTCTTCTGACACCACTGGTCGAATTATTTTTTGTTTTAGCTACTAGATCACCTTTGTTAGGGTCAGATATCAAAATTGAGGAATCATCTTCGAATAAGTGAACCTTTTCATCTTCCACATGTTCGGGAAGCTCATTTATAAATAACAAAAAAATCAGTGGACACAAGACGCTACCCTGAGACACTCCTGAGTCCACTAAGAATTCGTCACATGTTTCATCATTCACTCTGACTATCAGTTTCCTCCCTTCTAGGAATGAACGGAACCAGTCCTCAATTTTTCCACGTATATCGAGTGCATACATTTTTGTCAAGATGAAATTGAAGTTAACAGTATCGAAGGCACGAAATGAGTCAAAAACAATCCAATGACACACTCGTCTGCCTCCATCTTATTCTCTATCAGATGAATCAAATCTCTATTTGCGGGTACAGTAGAATACTTTTCTCTGAAACCAAATTAGTTTGGGCTAAGTATATTGAACTAATAGGAATGCTCAAAAATCCTGAAAAGTTTCAGGTGTATTTTCAGTTCAAGTCTGAAAGTTACTTTTTTGCATGATCTATATATCTTTGTGAAGACTCTGTTTTGAAAACAATTGCTCTTTCATTCTTCTATGAAGAGGGAGGTGTGGAGGTCCAGAAGTCTGGTTTTTCAAGATTAATATTACTGGAGTTTTTTCTCAACACCAAATCGTTATTTTTACACCTTGACACGTGTTTCGATCACCAAGTGATCATCTTCAAAGAGGAAGATTGAAACTAGAAACTGATGCAAGCTAACCCTATTTATGCTGTAAAGGTAACCCATACAGGTAAACCATCCAGGCATACCAACCTAAATTAATTTTACAATTTTGCCTTATCTATTATTTTACAATATATGTTTATATAAAACAATTTTCAGCTATATAAAAATTAATTTCACAATATTGCCTATCCAAATTTATTTTTGCAATATGTCTTTATGTAGTAATCAGTAAACCCAACAACATTATTTTATTTTATTTTAATAAGCTATATAGTATGCTATTTGGTATAGGTCCGTCATCGTTATTCATAATATTATTGTGTTTACTTATTTATACACTCTCATAGGCATCTAGTTGCGTGTTGTTGTTAACTTGTCTAACTAATCTTAATGAACTGAAGTCTATGGAATGGTTTTGTTGCAGAATATGATGGGCGACTGCTGATTTTTCAGGTCTTCCATATTTTAAGTGTGCTATGTGTTCCTTATACCTTACTTTAATAGATCTTTTTGTCTATCCATAATATTTTGCATCGCAGTCCTTACATTCAATTTCGTAAATTTCAGACTTTTCCAAATTCTCCACTTTGCCTTTTGGACTTCCCTTAAGGCTCTGTAGTGTATGACTTGTTTTAAAAACCACCTTTATACCTAGTTCCTTGAAAATCTTTCCAAAGATCCTCGTGTATTTGTGGTATGGAACTGAGATGTATTTATCTTGGTTTTTGTCCTTTCTGAAAGTCGAGATTTCATTCATTCCTAACCTGAACTTCTTTTTCCTTATTATGTCATCTACAATACCCCTCGAGAAACCGTTAGTGGCTGCTACAGTTTGTGCTGTCCACAGTGATGTGGACAGCACAAACGTGCTGGGTTGAATTTTTTAGTCCATCGTCTTTTGACTTTCCCTCTAACACATGATAGGTTCACAAAAGAAAGACGTACAATACAGGAAATAGCAGCCACTAACGGTTTCTCGAGGGGTATTGTAGATGATATAATGAGGAAGAAGTTCAGGTTGAGAATGAACGAAATTTCGACTTTCAGAAAGGACAAAAAGCAAGATAAATACATCTCAGTTCCATACCAGGAATATACGAAGAACTTTGGAAAGATTTCCAAGGACCTAGGTATGACGGTGGTTTTTAAAGCAAGTGCATACACTACAGAGCCTTTTGGGAAGTCCAAAAGACAAAGTCGAGAATTTGGAAAAGTCTGGAATCTACGAAATTGAATGTAAGGACTGCGATGCAAAATATTATGGACAGACAAGAAGATCTATTGAAGTAAGATATAAGGAACACATAGCACAAAAGACGTACAATACAGGAAATAGCAGCCACTAACGGTTTCTCGAGGGGTATTGTAGATGACATAATGAGGAAGAAGTCTAGGTTAAGAATGAACGAAATTTCGACTTTCAGAAAGGACAAAAACCAAGATAAATACATCTCAGTTCCATACCAGCAATATACGAAGAACTTTGGAAGGATTTTCAAGGAACTAGGTATGAAGGTGGTTTTTAAAGCAAGTCATACACTACAGAGCCTTTTGGGAAGTGCAAAAGACAAAGTCGAGAATTTGGAAAAGTCTGGAATCTACGAAATTGAATGTAAGGACTGCGATGCAAAATATTATGGACAGACAAGAAGATATATTAGAGTAAGATATACGGAACACATAGCACACTTAAAATATGGAAGACCTGAAAAATCAGCAGTCGCCCATCATATTTAGCAACAAAACCATTCCATAGACTTCAGATCATTAGGATTAGCTAGACAAGTTAACAACAACAGGCAACTAGATGCCTATGAGAGTGTAGAAATAAGTATACACAATAATATTATGAATAACGATGACGCACCTATGCCAAAGAACATACTTGTTC